AAAAGTCATTTAGCTGACAGTTATGAAATCATACTCTGAACATACAGTCTTTGAGACAAAGTAATTCTGTCCTAGCATGCAAATGCTTAGTTGCTAGCACACGTGGAGAGCAACAGCAGAACACTTTACACACAGCACAGTTTGGAATAATGTAATTCTGCTTCAGTAAGAACCTAGAAGTAAAAAAAGTGGGATATTTAACAAGCTGCGTAGGATTTATTACCTTTGAGATGTTACTCTGCTTTGCAAGATATAATCAGGTTTCCAAGGAACGATGCTAAAATGCAATAAAGGATCCAGATCTGATTCCTTAGCAACTCCTTCCATTTAATCATAAAAACAAGATAAATCCATTTCACAAAAAAAATGAAAAGATGGACTAGGCAGATAGGAAACAAATCAGTTAAGTACAGACATTAGAAACTGAAGCATGAGATGGCACACAAATACTATGGCTGACAGAGATAAATCTGACAGATAAATTCAGAAGAATTAGAACTGACACTACAACTACAGCTTGAGCAGAAGCTGGCACCAGAGCACAACAGGAAGACTGAAGGAGAGATGTTTCAGACTTGTCTCCACTTAGAAAATCCCCTAGCTTTATTGATTTGTGTCATCACTTCATCATCATTTTTAGAATAGCGTATTTCAGAAAATACTATGTTCCTATAACCTGGGATTTTGAGAACTGATATTATTTGCATTGCCTGACAGTGCATTCTGAAAAATAGCAATATTCCCATGTTCCTGTGAAATATCACACATAACAAGTTCAAAGGAGACTTTATGTAACATGCAATAAGCAAACGCAGTGCTTGCTGTGAACACAAGCTTACTTTCTAGCAAGGGTTGACAATACAGCTTTCCTGTAGCTCAAAATAAGGTACGCCTTCCTCGTCAAATAAGGGCAGTATTTTCTGTAGTAGACATGCCAAGCAAACCAGGAGTATGATATACATTTACTATTAATGAAATGATTTGTGAGCCTGTTGCACTTTCTTTCTTTCCTTTTGGGAGAGCAACAAGGGCAGAGAGTCTTAGATGAAGTTGCTGCTGCTAACGGCTGCCAAAGGTGCCTGTCCTTCATCTGAGGACCCCTGAAACAAACCATCCTCTGGCCACCCCTTCTCCCATGGCGCCTTCAGTAGCTCATGCGCCAGCCACTCTTCACTCCCTGTCAAATGTGAAGTGTAACAAACTATTCCTCTGTGACTGGAAGGGCAAAATTTGACAAGACAAGCAAGTTACCAATAAATTGCGCAGATTCAGAGGTCTTTCCTTCAGTATGCTTAGCCATCACAAGAATAGCACATAGTGGCTATCACATTTACTAACTCACTTTGTCATTCAGTAACACCCTCTAATGTTTAAGGATGAAGAAGTCAAAGATTAAGCATCTGAAACACAGTTTCTCTCGATGATGAACATAGTCTGATGATCAAAGGCAATGAAAGGAACGGAATTTGAGAAAGACACAGTAAAAATGAGTCAGCAAAAGGGGAAAACCATCAATTCATACCAAAAAAAGAGGGAAAAAGCTAGAAATGCATGGTGATAAACCTGGCACAACTACAAATGAATATTTACATTCAGTATTTTCTACCTTATTCTACACCACCACAACTTCGTCAGAAGCAACAAGGTAGTACAAACTCAGTACTACCATGCAATCTGTGTGATTTGCCAGACCAAAGCAGGTATCTCTATATTGGACAGCTGCTTCAACTGTCCTTCAGGTGGAGGACCCATTCAGGAGTTCCCTGCACATAGCCAGTTGCAATATGATCCGGTGACTTAAAGTGACACTGAACATAAATATTATTTACCAAGTATTTAAGAGGCAAAACAGCTGCACACATTACTGCATATACAAAAATCCAAATGCATTATATTAATTAATGCACTCCTCAAATTTTTGTTTGGAGCATCAGACTTCTGATTATTGCAATATTTACCAGTCACAAAAGAAAAAACAAAACACATGCTAAGATTTTTACATGGTGAAATTCTTCTCTTTATCAGAGATGATCATCAATTCTTTTTGACAAACTATTTTCAGTATAATAAGCTGCAAAAAATTACTTCCAGCATAATTGTAGCAAGTAAGGATTACATCAAGCATTACTCTCAGCTGAAGGCCTAACCCTTCTTTAAGCTGTGTCATGACTTTCACCAAATACCTGGAGATATATGTCCCAATATAAATGCTGGCACTTTATATTAAAAAAGAGAACCACACTGGAAATATGGTGATAAAGAGACATGGATAAACAGTGACTTGGCAAAGGTTTAAGACTGCTGCACATTTTTCTGGTATCAAACACAGAATAGTGCTGTAAGGGTCAAGAATACTTCTGTGAAGAATTAGGCCAGACTTCGGGACAATGTTGTGTTGGATGAGAAGGCAGAAAATGAATACACTTGGGTTAAAACCTTTGATGCAATTACTTTTTAGAAAGTGAAGCAGGGTGAGAACACAATTTATAAAAGAGTTTAGTCCAGAGTCTTTATATATCATTGTTTACATATACGTGTCTGTATGCATGTATGCACATACATGTGTCCACACATTCATCTGTGTGTGTGTGTACAGAAAACACCACTGGCTAATCAGTTAAAATAGCCCACAAAAAAAAAATAAAATCCTTCTGCTCTAAAAAATACATATTTTGAAGATCAAGAAAGAGAAGAGCTGCTCAAAAATACTGTGTAGAAGCATAGCCTGCATGCTCCCGCTCTCCCTAACACACTAAAAAGGGCAGAAGGAACAAGCAAAGATCAAGTATTCACAGTACATTTGCAAAAAATACATAATAAACTTCCCTAGTAGGCAACATTCAGGCTGACACAGTATACCAAGTACAGTAGACTTTGCTTTAGAGACCACAGAAAAATAAATATCCGAAACGTCACCATGTGCAAGGGGTGCTGGACATGCGGCCCAGTCTTCCAGCAGGGAGGCTTGGGGGGAACTGGGGGGCCCCGTGCTGCCGGTCCCATAGCTTTCTGCAGGAGGGTGGCTGTGGCTGTGGGGTTCGAGGAGCTGCCCCGGGGAGCTGGGGATGACCCCTCTGCCCTGCAGTCCCCGGGGAAAGCCCTCGGCCTAGGATGGAGATGAAGGCAGAGGAGCAAGGATGGAGTGAGGCTGCCTCACCTAACGTAACTCACTCGGGTGAGAAGACTGGAAATGTAACATGGAGTATATTTCCAGGAGCAGACGAAACACAAACTACTATGGGGTTTAAGGACTGGTAAGCAGATGATTTTCATTCTGCATCTGAACGAGCTGGGGCCTGCCACTGCTGAGGCCATTGCAATGCTCCCCTGAATACTGGGCTGTTCCTTGCTGGCAGGGGACCTCCTGATGCCACAGCTGCAGCCAAGAGCAAAGAGAGGAGGTGAGGAGAGGCATGGGGCAGATCAACCCAGCGAGCTGAAAGCCACCCCTGCCACACGCATGCTGTGTTCCTTTCTGTTGTAAGTCCTCTAACCAGGCTCTCCACTGTCTCCACGACTTGCATGCTAAAGCTATCGAGATGGCAGCTTTAAGGTAGGGGTTAGGCGTAATGTGCAGTGGCAAAGCAAGTACACACCACCTCTCGTCACTCTCCAACAGCCAAGCCAAAGCACTATGGGCTTTGGAGCCGGCTGAGGATTAGCACGTGCAGAACGGACTCGAGTAATTCCCCTCCTGACCCGGAAAGGATGGCAATTCCCTCGAAGCCCCAGACAAAGGAGGGAGGCACTTGCACTCGACTTCCCAGCCTCCTAGGGTAATCAGTCATGTTTCTACAACGTGCAAGCACCTCAAAGCCTACCAGCCCCTGGTGATGCGCAGCGAAGGGCAGGGCTGGCGGAAGGAAGACGTGGTGATCGCTATCGCTGTTTGCTCCATTCACCTCCCCAGGCCAGCCAGCGTTAGGTTTCCTTCCCCCGTCCAATGCACAGACAGACAAGACCCACAACAGCATGTAACATGGGATTTGAATGGATTACAGCTACCTAACCCTCAGCCCCAGGAAAGCAATCCGGGTTACCCAAACTCCAACTACTTAATCTGAGGTGTGTCTTCAGCCCAAAAACACTGCCTGTATTTACACAGCACACCTAAGCGTGTGCAGATAGGTTTGCAGAGGCCAGTGCACCTTCAGCCCAAGACCATGGATCAACCCTTCCATGGCTCAGTGTTTCCCACTGCCTGGTTTGGGGTGGCTTCTTCTGCTGTAGGTGAGCTTTTCAGGTCGCTCCTTGGGGACAAGTAGCCCTTCACCCCAACAGCAACAACAGCCTCACCATTTCCATGAGGTATGTAGAGCAAATTTGTGAGGGACAAGTAGCTAAATTTTAAGGAGGTGCAACACCTACAAGGGAAGGGACCTGACCATTTTATCTGGAGAAAAAGAAATGCTCTGATTAATCTTCTAATTGGTATAAAACAGTATTAGTGACTAAATTATACTGTTTTATCTCTGAAAAAAGGGCAGGGGCTATTGATTTAGTTGTAAAAAGTCACATGCAGATCTTTGGGTACTGATTTGATAACCCTTGACAACATAATTATATCAAAAATTAATTACATCTTTATCTTAGATGTAGATCAATTAATTGCTGAGTTTGGTCAGAAGGCTTCCACTATGGGAGGTCTCCTCTGGGATTTGTTTATCATTAAACTATTTTAGTGATGTATCAGAAACTTTCTTGAATTCACTTCAAAGTTGAGAATTTCCCTATTTCTGTATTTTCTGCTGGGAATTTGATTTTTTTGTTTTTGTTTCTGTTTTTTCTGGATGAAAAGTTTTAACTATGGGAGACATTAAATTTTAGAGTAGCAAGGAAAAAATATACTGTCCATCTATTTCTCCATGCCTGCAAATCTGTTCTACTAGAGCAGAAGGAAAACCTTAACGAATAGAGCGCTGAAGCAAAACTGCATCAGCAGTTAGGGAGCTACTGCCTGGTCTCACAGCACTTCCTATTGAAGAAGAGCATTGAAAAAATCCTTTGTAGTCCTGACAATAGTTGAGACTATTGTGTAGTGTTTGGAAAGTGTCTTCATTCCTGTTTTCATGGAGAGATTTTTTTGTTTATTTGTTTGTTTTGTCCTATTTTCACTGAGATATCTTGTTGCTAAATTATCCAAATAAGGGAAATGGAGTTAAAAGGATGACTTCAGTGACATGTAATTAGACCTTAACATGAGTAACTGGCCTCCCAAGGCAGGAAAATAGTTTATGTGAATCATCCTGCTATTTTTTTTTTATTGTTTTTGTTATTAAAACATGATCCTTATCATCTCTACAGACAGAAGAAACATGCTTTGCCTCCAATTCTACTGGAGCTGGAAAGCTTGATCTTGCCTCCCTCGTGAAACACAGCTCCAGATTCAACAGGTTGCTGAGTTTTTTAGCTACAAGAAGCAGCTAAAGCTAGTATGGGTTTCCAGAGCTCAGAGTGGTAAGGATTTTTATTTTAAATGACTTTTACATTCACTATTGGTAGTGAACGCAATGTGTTGTTCAGCATTTAATAGTGGTAGCACTGTGCAATACAACTCAACTTGTAGAATTACTTCTGCAAACATTTAAGTAGGACTTACAAAATATGTTGCATAATATTCTAACAAAGTCTGATTTCCAAGGTCACCTCTGTGGTTCCTGCCATTCCAGATACATGCTTGGGAATTTCTTGACAGCTATGTCAAAGGCTTCGTGAAAGTTTCACCAGACACTGTACCAGCATGGCCTATGGCACGTTTCCACACGTGACAGATCTCATCCAGCACAAAGGCACGCACACATTACGGATTTGCAGTACTAGTCCCACAGACAGCAGAATCAGAATGTTCACAAGCACGGTTGATTGAATGCGAGTCTTGCTGATTTTACTGAAAAAAAAAATCAATGGTAGTTTTTGGTTTAGTATTTCACACATCTTTGCACAATTGTTAAGACTGCAGAACAGCAACAGCAGTTGCAAAACTTTATCCTCATACAAACGTGTTTTTTTTTTTTTTTTTTAAGTGGCTTAATTACCACTGCTGCATTATTACTGCTGTGAAAATCCTTTCCATCATTATGCAGATTTTCATTGTCATCATATAGACCCTTGGTACTTCTTTTTTCCCTAGCGTTTGGCACACGGGGTTTCTCCCTAAAGGTTACTTTATTTATCTTTCACGACAAGGTTTTATCTGGGAGAAGCTGAGGGAGGGAAGGCTCAGAAATGTCGTAATATCAAGTTGGACTAGAAACAAGAGATCTGTCTTATCAAATGATCATAGTTTTGGTCCAATGGATAAGGATAAAAAAGGGTTTTCTATTGGACTGACAGATTTTATAAATTTCAGCAGCTTGTATGAATTTAAATTTATTTGGCTAAAACAGCCAACACTGGTTGAGCTGCCTAGAGATTTTAAATTACGCTGTGTTTTTTTTTTTTTGCCTTTGTCTCCAAATATGACTGGATTTTCAAAGATCAAAGCACAAATATTATTAACTGTTTTTTTCCCGTTGTTTGTGGGGTTTTTTTTGGTCATACCTATCTTTATTCGTCTACAGCTGAAAACCCCACCCAAACTACAAAACATACCTTTCTTAATCAGAAAAGTAACTGACTGATCACTGTAAGGGTAGGATCTGTTTGTTAACAGAATGATGTTGCCGAAGCAGATCAAGTATCTCTTCTATCTAAACCCCAGTGAAAATACAATTCTCAGCAGCAGCAAACAAGCCATATGTAAAAATTAGACTTGGTGTCATATTTGTTAAAACACTGTAAGATGTGTTCACCATTAAGCATAAGCCCAAGTGTTTTGCTTGTAATGGTAACTGTTCAAAAATCAGAAACACCTGACTTAAAAATTAACCTTTTTTTTTTTTTTGGGGGGGGGGGTAAGAATACGCTTTAGTTTTCTTCTAACATTCTTTGACTTTTTTAACTCTTGTGCTTGTATAATACACACGGCAGCTACAGGGCTGCCATTTTACAGAGTAGAGTAATCTTGCTTCCTGCTGCAGCTGTACTCCCTGGGTACGTAACAGTGCAGCATCATTTGCTGCTATTCCCCAAACTTCTCATTAGGTATCCATTTTAACAACGTTATGCTTGCCTCTACCCTGGATCAGCAACTACCTGCACTCACATGCGTTTCTTCTTCTTAAACAAGGTCTGCTCTTCCTGCTATAGCAAAGTCTACCCAAGCCCCGTTTTTCAGGCCAAGGACAGATGAAGTAAGGTCAACCACTTCTTTCCAGATTTGGAAGACAGAGGTGAGGCACAACATAGGCCCAAAGCTACCTCCCCTCCTATAACTGCAAGCAGGCCTGAGGAGGTAATGATTAGATGGGGAAAGGAAGAAGGACCAGAAACAAAGAAGCTTACTTTTCCTATGAGAAAGAGAGAACTCCATTTTCCCTTGTAGCTTAGACTGGCTGTTCTTCCTCTAGTCAGTGGACAAATGGGTTGTAACAGCTCAAAGCAAGGCACCTTCACCCTTCTTGCTCCATCTGCGGGGCTGGCTGAAATTTGCTAGGAGCCTGGAGCTTTATGTATCATGGCAATGTTGCTGTCTTCTGCACAGAAGTAAAACTGTGTAATTCGCCAAGATGGCAAGACTGATTTCCACGCCCAATGTTTCAGCATACTTAGCATTTTACTCAGCTCATTTCTGCACTCAGGGATTGAAAACAACTTGATATAAGCATATTGTTTTCTTGGTGTGGTTGTTCATCTTCATGCAAAAACCCATTTGTGAAAAGATTGCAGAAAGATCTCCCAGGTACCTTCAGACTACTGTATATGGTCACCTTTTATATTTAAATGGCAAGATCGGAAAGATCACATTCTTCATGAGCACTTGAACCTGTTCTATCAGTGACACTTAGCACTCAGAGGATGCTGTAGTGCTGGAAGTGCAGTTCTCCAGTTGAACCATTATTGTTACTGCCTACAAAAAAGCAGGAGAGGGACTCTTTGTCAGGGAATGAAGTGATAGGACAAGGTACAATGTCTTCAAACTAAAAAAAAATATAGATTAAATTAGGTATTTGGAAGAAATCTTTTACTTTGAGGGTGGTGAGGCCCTGGCACAGGTTGCCCAGAGAAGCTGTGGATGCCCCATCCTTGGAGGTGTTCAAGGCCAGGCTGGATGGGGCTTTGGGCAGCCTGGTCTGGTGGGAGGTATCTGTGCCCATGGCAGGGGGGTGGAATTTAGTGGTCTTTAATGGATGGTCTTTAATGTCCCTTCCAACCCAAACCAATTCCATGATCCTGTGACTACTACCACCATGCAAAGATACACACATAACACATCATTCTTTAGCTTTAGGTTTCTGTAACAGCTCGGCTTTGATGGCCTGAACTTGAAACTGTTATAAATGAGCTTTGCAGGGCAATTATGAAAATTCTACATGTTACTATGATCATACTGATTTTATGGTATGTCAAATGACTTCCTAAGGAAGCAATCAGTGTATTACAGAGTATGACTTTACATTCAATTGTATATCATGGATGTATTCTGGAGTAAGGATACATTTGAGAGACTTTATTTTGGACTAAGGGGACAGACAAAACTGTAGCAAGCACTTTATGATGTGTTGCCATTGCCACATTATGTTATTTTTTAATAAGTTCTCTTGCTACATTAGCTCTGTGCCGTAAGAGGACTGCCTGCTAGAAAAAGCAGACAAATTTGTGAGTAACCAGGAATAATTTTCCTTGTGATTCTCAGCAAGTGAATTGCACCTATGCAGCCAGCAGAGATGAATGGCTTAAAGCCTCTTCCAGAAGTAGTTCAGTTCACTGTTCAGTGCACTAGACATAGATAATAGTGTGGATGAGACTAGACAAACAAAATTTGAAGTCAGATTTCTTTCTTAAGTGCTGCCTAAAGCAATAACATCCACAGCTGTGTGAAAGCTAAGCATATATAATACAAAACAATCTATTTTTCTCTGTAGTGCATTTTAAAATGCAGGAGACATGGAAATCACAAAACAGCTTTATTTCGTCGTGAACACTTATACACGGCACTTGAAAACATACTGAGAAGCTCCATGGCATCTCAGGCCATAATGAAAGCAGATCGATTTTAGAAGAAGGTATAATGATGGATAGGGCGTGGTACCTTCTGCTTATATTATAGAATATTTTATTTTCTTTTTTGGTATGAACACCAGGTAGTTACTCAATGCCCACAGAATGAGAAATCATTTTGCTGGTAAAACAATTCTAAGTACATCTGGTTAGGATTTTTCACAGAAGAGCATTTCCCACCAATACAAAGGAAAATAAATATTTTTGTAACACACCAAGGAAGAACATATTCTGTGGAAAGTTGGTGGAAGAAATACAAATATAATTGAAGATACAATGCAAATTAGGATAAAATATAAATATTAGAGCATACTGTATTTTTAATAATTTACTTTAAACAAGTATCATACATGCTTAATGTTGTAGAAATGGTCCAAGCAAGTAATCAAGTTGATAATTGGGACTGATAACTTGCATGAAAATGAGTTTTTTTTGTTCTTATTTTTAGTGTTCAATTTGAAATTAACATCTTTTCATTTCAATTTGTAATAATAAAAGAACAAAAGAAAATGTTGACATTCCCTGTGGTCAGTGTCTGAATGAATTTGGTTTAAAAACAAGTTTTAAAATGAAGGCTAGGTGGAAAACATTACTGTCCCTGGCCCCATCACTGCTCATCCAAAAAAGTAAGGATGTGAAGCAATTCACTGGATAACACTGTGTAATAAATCATGATTCCATCTCCAAGCACCTTGAAATTTAGGACAGAACTCTTCAAGAAAATAATGCAGTTAAAGTAGGATTCATTTCATCTACAGGGATAGCCAGCTGACAGGGGCAAAATCAGACAAACACCTAAATTTTGACCTAGAAAACAGTAGGAAGAAAAATGGAAGAGGAAGTATACCCAGAGCAAATACAACGATGACGATGTATGATGCAGTATCATCGGGCCCTGCCATTTTCTTCATACACTGCTGTAAATCACAGCAGAGTTCAGAAGGCACGTCACCCTCCCTTCCCCCAGGCACACAACTCACAAAAGGATGCTGGCTCAAACAGACAGGCTGGTGCTGAACACAAGTAGGAGCGAAGCAAAACAGTCAACATTAAAATCTATCTGTATGTATTTTAAAAACAAGTTTTCTCACATGCCATGTCAAGTGAATCATTTACACCCAAAATCCTGCTGTGGTCTTAAAACACTAGAAAAGGAAGGGGGGAGGGGATGACTGTAAACAAGATTCCTTTCTAGGTTCCCCCCCATCCCTTTCAAGTACTCACACAAACTATACAGAACCTCCCTGGTACCACTCTATTCCAAAGCCTGAGATTTTTGCTCATATTGTTCAGGTGAAATAATGTATTCTTGAGTGAAGAAAACACATTAATTCAGAAGCATTAGGCAACAGAATATAGTATTTTAGAACAGACTTGTGCAACCACTGCTATAAACGCATTTGCATGTTCCACCTCTTATCTGCAAGAGTAATGAACATTGACCGTACAGACACAACATTTAGAACAAAATTCAGGCAAGTCCTAAAGAACTCTGGTGTACCCGGCCACCCACCAGCTATACATGAGTGAGAAATCATTCTCCCTGTTGATCACATCAGTCAACAAGACTGTTGTAACCTTCATAACTTGGGACTGCTTTTTGAAGTAACACCAGCTAGAAGAGGGAGCCTTGTTTCACCTGGAACGAGTTAAAAAGGCTCCGAGCAATGCCATAATTCTGACACAGTAACCAAATAAGCTCAGGTTTAATCAGCCACAACTTCTATGTCAGACTGCAGGGCTGAGCCCAGAAACTTCAGCACTGAACTGGATTATCTGTCTAATACTTTCTTAAAACACATGTTCTCAATGAAAGACTATTACCACTCAGAAGTTGCTTGGAACATTTTTGCTCAGTTGTTGAGAGTTGAGAAGAGGCCGAAGGCAGGCCCTTTGCTATCTGTTGGTACCATAAACAATTTCAGGCCTACAACTCCCCTAACACTGAAGTTCCCAGAGTTCACGTACATGCACACAGCACTGGGGCTGGTGGGTTTAATTTCTTGTCATGCATCTGTTGGGACAGTGGAAGTCTTGAGGGTTTTGGCATTAAAAGACTGACCTAATTAAGGTTGATTCACTCTTCCCAGGTACAGAGTAGCCAAGTTTTGAAGCACCACACCCCATCATATCATGAGGGTGGAAGCAGACTGGATCCTTGGAACATCTGCTGACAAGTTTATACCTGAAAAATAATTGGTTTGACATAGGATAGCAAGTACTCAGACATGCTTGAGAAAATTCAAATAGGGAATGATTAGGCAAGCTCTGTTTAGATAAATATATATATTTATGTACCAATATGAAAATTGCTTACATGGAAATAAGATCTGAAAGTTTACATGTCTAATCCCATTGGTTCCAGTCCTTCCCCCACTCCCCGCCGCATTTCTGGGTTTTAGTTGTATTTTTCCGGCTTTATGTAACCGTAAGCACTTTGCTTGAAAATACTGTATTGTGTACTGCATTAATTATTTAGTTCATTATTTGCCTCCTACTTCTTAAATAGGAAAGTCAGCGCATAATGAATACTTATGCAAAATCTACAACATAGTTGATAATTTAGGTGTTGTGTTACTTCTTCTTTAATATATATTTTAATTGTAAGAAAATACAATAAAAAACTTTTCCCCAACATCAGCATATGGCGCTTAATAAAAAACTTTTAATTTCCACAGAAATTCTACAGAAATAAATATATTTAGATATATATACACTGGTTGATATACTATTTTCATTACAAATAAGAGGGTGCATTTTTAAAAGTTAACAGAACAGTCTTAAGCCCTGATTGTATATAATATCTGTAGTGCTTTTAAAGCTGTCAGGACATGGCAGAACTGGAAACAGAATAGAGGGACTCCATCATTCTCCCAGTTATTTAATTTATTTAATATAAGTTATGTAATTAAACATCAGAAGTTCAGAGATTTAGATATTACGAAGGCTTGCAGAAAATACCTTTCAGCTTTTTGTTAAGCTCAATACCTCAACCTCAATGTTTTCGCGTAAGACTTGTTTCCAGCCCTTTAATCACTCCTGTGACTCTTCTTTGAGCCTTTACCTATTTTCTTCTTTACCTACAGACCCCAGAACTAGACAAAAGAATCCAGCCTTAGACTTCTCAATGCCAGACGGATCATCTCCCTTCCCAAACTTCCTAGCTTATGTACCCAGAGATCATATCAGCCCTTTGGCCGAAGATGTTTTCCACAGGATGGAGTCTATGACTCCAAAGAGAAGTCCCCTGTCGTTGTTTCTTGTTTACATTCACTCTGTTAAAGCAATGATGTTATTTTGTCCAGTCTGACAAGTACAGTCACTCAGCGATTTGCTCCTTTCATTATGATTTTCTCAGTATTTGAATCATCTATAAACTTTGTGAGTGGTAACAAGGTTTACAAGGGCACAGACAGAAAAAGTTGAAGCATGGAGGAGTGGGACCCACATGTACACACAGGCCTCAGATGCAATTGTAAATGGCATCACCTGCTGTGCTAGTTCATTTACCGAGTGTCCATCGCACCTCGTATCATTCTTGTTTCTTCATCACAAGGGTGAGCAGCACCCAAAGGAGCGCCCTTATAGACACCTAAACGTGTTTTCACACTACTTCATTATAAACAAACCCAGCTATAAGCACCTCCAAAACACAATTATGGTACCAGTAGTTTAGCAAGACTTAGATTAACAAATTTGTGATAAGCACTAGTTAAGTCCTGTGACCCTCCTCTGTCCTTCCCTAATGAAATCCAGTAATAACCCACTATTTGATTATTTCACCTAGACCAGTATCTTGGCTTACAACCACCTCATTTACCAGATCTACAGCACTGGCTCTCACCCAGCTTTCTGCTACCTTCCTGGTATTCTAACACTTTTTTTTTTTTTTTTTTTTAATATCAACATTGAGAGCCTAACATTAACTTCTTTGTCAGCTTTTCTGGGGTGAAACTACCTGCAGCTTTTAAAATAACTAAGCTGAAAACTCAGTGTCCATCTACACATCCAATGGACATGCCTCTGGAGAGGTAGCAAGTTTTAATTTCCATTATTCTACATTTTAAACAAAACATGCCCTTCTTATACCAACATTCAACATGCTCTCAGGTAGGAAATTGCACACAACCAACAGTACATGCTTCCCCTTCTGACCCAAACATTTTATTCTGTATGAGCAAAGGCACCTCACCAGAAAGTCCTACCAGTGCACAAAAGAAGATGGTGCAACACCCACATTCTTCCTGCTGCAGGCTTGGCCTATTCCTTTTCTACCTGATTGCAACACAGGCCAATAAAAACGTTACGTTGGCAAGCAGAAGGGACTGTTTTCATTTGTTCGTAGAACTTTGAAAAACTAGAAACGTTTCTGATTGGGGAACACGTGTGCCAAAATTTAGACTGACAACTTTGTTTAAGATATTTATAAGGAGGTGTGAGAGAGGAATAGGCAGAGACTTTTCAATCTGAATTATGGTACCATAAATAACCAGGCAGAAAAATAATCTCCCCTTCTTTATGACATTCAGCTTATCTGAGAAATAAAGGTTCAAACTGGTTACTTTGGATCCCAAAGCTGGTCAATCTATTGTGCTGGCAAGCATCGCAATTTTTAAAAAAGATGAAAGAAAAAAAATCTCAGACCAAATATTGATCGATCACTCTGTCAAGCTGACGCTGAGCCAATTACCCAGAGGGATCTCAGAAACACGCATGTTGAAATGCTCTGCTTCTGAGGGTTCTCCTGGATATTTGCTTTGCAGATAATCAGGAGGTTTGTTTTATTAGCGAGAGGGTTTAGCTGCTGGGGACTGAGATGAGGGGTGAGGGGAGAGAGGGGAGAAGGAGGGAGGCTTCATGCCTATAAAGGAGCAATTGAAGATCAGACTAAAGCTCATTTAAAGACTTCCAGTAAGAAACTGTGACTAAGGCTTAAAACACACAGCAAAGAAGCAGCTTCATCTTGAACTTTGGGAGCAGCTGTGCTCTCACTCCCCTTCCCCCAACACAGGAAACAGACCTAGAAACAAAAATAAGACAGGAATGCTCCTGTGCAAGCTAATGTTGTTGGCTTCTTAAACATCCACTACTCTTGTGCCAAAAAAAATGAAACCTAGGAGGATTTAACACTTCAAAGGATAGTGGGAGACTGCTTTAAACACAGAATTTTCTACCAGAGACAGATATTCCTTCATTTTGTAAACAAGCAGGAAAAATGTTACCATGAGTGCATGTCAAGACAGATTTCATTTATATTCCTGCACTTATTATGCACAAATACACTACAGCACATTACACTTTTACCTATTTTAGACTACAGATAATGCTGCAGTAATGTTATCTCCAATCAGAAAAAAAAGAAGCGGTTGAATTTTCTGATACCTTCCAAAACATAGCATTACAATATACAGCTCGAAAGCTTAATACTACAGAGAAATGTTTGACAAAGAAGTTCTCTCCTTATTAAGCAATGATACATAATTATACGTTCAAGGAGAATGTGAATAACATCTTGCCAAAGGAATGTACGGCCACATATGCTACTCACAGTATTCCCAACTACAAATTATAGTTATGCTTTCACTTGTGCTACTAAGAACTTGGCCTCTGTTCAGTGCATTTCATTCTCTGAACAAAGGTAAGGAAAGGGGAAGGAAAGAAAGCGTCAGGGAAGCTCAGTTCTCCACTTAGCCTAAAAAACACTGTCTCTTTCTGATGAGGAAAAATCCTCTCAGTGGCTTTCTCAGCTTAACTCACCAAAAACAACTCATGTTTTCAACACTTAATTTAATATTTCGCAGGCTAATGGAAACTTTACATAATGCATTCTCCCTTATAAAAACTAAAATGTCAGCGCAGATGGGATTGAGATCTTGATTTGAGGAGAAAGGAAATGTTATCTTTCCAAAATCTTCAGCCTTACAAACATGATGTGGAGGATGTGATAAATACTAACGTAAGGAAAAAAGGGAGGGGAAAATAGTCTTACTTATTTTTGAAGAGTATCTGTATCTCGCTCAGAGTGCAGCACCCCCAGTCATACCTGTCTCAAGTTTTTAACATTTGATTAAAATAGTTTCCTGGTCCCTCCTAGATCTGCTAGTGCCCTCCCTTTGGTAGGAGGTGAAAAACAGATTGGAAAACAACAGTTGATGTGATTGTTAACAGTTGTATTTCACTCTCACTTCAAACACGGTTAAGTATTGTCAGACTATTCCGTAGTCACAATGAACTCCAACTCCAGTCGTTCCCCACACACACTTTTTTTTTTTCCCAAGGTATGTTTGATCTTTTCTTTGTACATTCAGAGTTCAGGGCCATGCAGCACTTGTGCCTTCGGCACCTGTTAATAATTCCTCAGAGAAATGGATAGAGAGCAAAAGCAGGTGAAGGGAGGCTTTTAAGTTTTAACCATTCCATCCGTGGATCACACCCAGTCCAACTACTTGGTATGGTCACTAAAGGCACCATTTCATCACTGCTTTTTCTTTCCAGCAAGAGGGAAAGTGACAGTGGGTAAAGCATTTCAAAACGGGTGGAAAGTAACGCAAGTGTTTTTTTCCTGTTTTAAGGGATTTTATTCCCAATATAGATAATTAAATCTGAACATGGTAAGAAAGCAAAAGCAAGACCTATGTTGGATGTGGCAGTCCAAGAAAAATCATCATCATAGATGAACTTAACACCACACAACTGATTTTTCTCTTGGGCTCTCTTCCAGTCACCATTATAACCTTGTCTCAAAAATAAAAGTTTGGATTTTTTTTTTTTTTTTTTGCAGAAAGACTTGCACGCTTTCAGTATGCACTGTTTGTTATGCTTGCAGTGGAGCAAAAATCGCTGCTCAATAGGCCATTATATTGTCATTTCATAAGCCAGTTTTCCCTGTTCTAGAGCCGTATGGAGACTCATATATTTATGCCTATTACATTTGCTGTAATCGCAGCTAATAATAAGCACCTAATTACTAGAGAAATGTTTCATAATCCAAACGTAACGCTGTTTAAACCACTTCATACCAGCTGGCTTACGGCAAGCGGGCAGGTAAATGGA